TCGACTCGTAAATATTCGAGATATTCCATTGTGCTTAATTTTCATTTTTTACAGAGGACGCACTCCAGAATGGTACAACAAGAGCTACGGCCACCTCGCTGCCCTTCACCTCAGTAAAATCCGCAGTTCGTTCAAGCACACGACGGACGGTCCTGAGAGCAAAGTCTGAGAGGAGGCAACCGTGCAACGCTCCCTGTTGCACGGTCCTTACACTACTCTACAGGATCAGGACGATCAACACCAGGAACACAGGATCCTGAAGGATGTGCGGCAAGTTCAGCCTACGATCGACGAGGAGTAAAGGAGAATAGAGATCGTGCCCACTTTATCGGCAACCATGACCAAGAAAAAGTATAGAAATATCTCGATCGGAATCAACTCGCTGTTAAAGATGAACGTGCGTTTCTTTCGAGTTGATTAGTTAGACGATATTTATAATTGACGACGTAGGGGACAGAAAAGGAAAATTACTATACGTAACAAGAAAACGTTAACGATACCATGCACGAGCTTTAATCGATGTGAAGCAATTTCTGTTGAAGCCTGAGATGTATAGCGTTAGACGAATTATTAATTAACCGTGTTGTTAGAGGATGAAGAGTAAAGAATTAATTGTTGTCGTAATTCTAGACGAAAATTCTCTCTCTGTGTCACGTTTTATTGTCTAAGGATCTTGCCGTCCAGTGATCGTGAAAGTTTGTTTAAAGAAAAAAAAAGGAAAGAAAAATAAAATAATTCAAAAGGCAGGAGACCGAAACGAAGAAAAATGGGCTAGTACGTGTCTTTTTCCCCGTAGGATGCAGCGCATTATTTTTGCAAGTAGCCGTAGTCCAATGTTATATCGTTGATCGAAGAACGATGCTTTTGTCCTTGGCGATAACTGGTTGCAGAATAATACGCGATTTTTCGCGATGTTTCGTCAATGGAGAAAGAAGAACCCCGTAGCACATACCGATGCCTTTTCTCGATGGTTAGCTAGATAATTTTAACTGATATACGCGAAGTATATGTAAAAGAAAAGAATGAACATAAAATATTTTTCGATTTACAATGTCGCTACATGCAGCTGCAAGATCTGTGTATATGTAATTTTTGGCGTCGCACGATGTTCCAATCTCACCAAATGATACGTATGCGATCGACGAAGTGAACGAAGCCGCGCACAATATTACAACTCGCTCGTTTATAGCACTTAAGAGCCTCCTATTTTGTATGTTTCTTTCGGACCAAATGCCAATTTTTCTATTATATCATATCAGAACGCCTTTTAAGAGCAATTCTTTTAGAGAGCAATTCTTTTTGTAAGTGTCACGAGATGACCACGAGAGAATATGTTTAGCGGATACGCAATTATACGATGTATATGTGCGTGTACTCATATACAAAAAACCAAAAAAAAAAAAAAAAAAAAAAAAAA